AATAAATTTAGAGAGAGAGAGAGAGAGAGAGAGAGAGAGAGAGAGAGAGAGAGAGAGAAATGTGAGACAATGAAAAATATATTAAACATAATTTATGCTTACATCCCATTCCAGGTAATACGCAACAGTAATAAGCACAGCCCACGGCTGCTCTCCCTTCTGGACTACCCGTCCGTTTTGAATGCCGGCAAACATTATATTACTGTTTGGATGGTATGTAAAGCACGTGTTGTCCATAAGACTCCCTCTCCTCCCGACTCCACACCCGATAGCAGTTATATTAGGGTAGAAATGAATCGAAGCGTGACTTCCATTACAGCCAACAATACATACACTTAACGCTGCAATTGATACACATTTTAATGCAAATATTAAGTAAATCATTATTAGTTTTACTTACATATTATAAGTCCAATGAATTTAATATTAAATGAATTCATTTTTACAACAATATTTAGTCAACAATTACTTTATTGTATAGTAAGTCACAGAATAAGTTAAATTAATTTGACTTAATTTTATATCTTGAATGAGAAATATATTTAATTACAAAAATATAATATACAAAATATAATGTATATAATATGATACATAAATAATATTTTGAATTTCGTGAATATAGTCACTAATCAATATAACTAAAAAATTTGTAAATTGGGGGATAAACGAGTTTCCCCCAACGCTAAGCTAAAATTATTAACATTCATTAACATTCCATAACATAAAATAACATTCATTGTTTTCATAACATTGAACATAAAATTGATAAAGTTGTTTATATAACGGGGGTGTCCAGGGGGTTGTTATTATATAGGGGATTGTCCACTAATCGGGGGGATGACCTCGTCATAAGCTAATGGATGTCATTATAGCTCACAAATAGACAATGTCTATTAGATATCTAATTAAAATACATGACTATTCAATAGGGAATCAAATTTCAAGTGAATCTCTAATTAGATGGCATTTAACACATAATGAAAGGTCAAATGTTATCAATACGTTATGTGTTATTTGCAAATGTATTTACATATTATTAAAGACTACACAACATTACACAACGAACATGATAAAAAAGGCATATTGTATTCCCCATTCACACAAACCAATATAAAACCCACACCACACCAAACAATATACACTGGGAGCTAATGTACTGTATTATCAAATATATTTTACCCACACGTCAACCATTGCTAATAATAAGCCCTGTTTTTTGCGGTAATATCTTGTAATATACTCGACAATACATACCCTCAAGAAATAAAAACCATAAGAATCCTTCTTCTGCTTAATTAAATGTGTGACAACTCTATTAATCCTTTGATTTTTTCTCCCCAACTGTCGCTCATTTGGTAAACCGTTTTTATGGCGCAAATATTTGCGCTCACAGTCTATGAGTTAATTAAACCGAAAGACAATTTAATACATATAAATAAATGAAAAAACACTAAATAGACTACCGATTCACTTGACATTGTTTGCTAACAACCCGTTTATCTCTCCCTCTCTTTCTCTCGCCATCCTTCAGGTCTTCGCTGTTTTTTGTGGTCCATTGGTTTGCGATGTCTTCCGTATGTTATAATCCATTCATCTATTGCTGGCTTAACGAGAACTTTCGCCGTAAAGCGAAAACACTGTTCACGTGTATACCCATCCATACGGCCGACCGGCCGGACAACAACAGCTCCGTACGGATGGACTCCATGTGCGAACAGCACCGCATGAGTACATTGAACACCGATGTCGGCGCCAATGAGGTGGAGATCGTGTCAAATAACTATCAAAATCACGTGACCTTTTCGGCGGTCACACCGACGGACACCACAACCGCACAGAATTCACAGATTGTCACAGAATTATAGACCGATTCTGTGATTGAGATTAATGAATGATAATGTCATTATTAATGTGGGTCATTTTGTAATTGTTTCTAGATTGTTTATAAATGTTTTATTTATTCAATCAAATCTCTATATTAATGTTTACTGATAATTATTGATTGTTTATTTTATATACTATTAATCATGTTATACCAAATAAAAAACCTATTATGTCTTGTGTATTAATAATAAATACTATTATTGTTTTAAAATATTTATAAAATTATAGTTATATTCTACAATAAATTATATAAATATGTTTTTTATTGTGTATAGAAAATTAAAATTAAACTAAAGACTAGTTTTAACCACAATTGAGATATGAATAATGTGGTTTATAGAATCGTTCTGCTACCCTTCCCCTCCCCAGACCCCTCTATGTGATTTTACATGGGATTACAGCTTAAATCTATGGCTATACTTTAACATGGACTTTACCAAAAGTATAATTGTTTGAGAAAAGCCAAAAATATTGATAGTAAATATTTTTATTTAGTTTTATATAAATTTCGTAATATTTACAGTATTTGAGTAAAAACTATTAAAATAAACTAATTTATTAATATAATTAATGAACACTAAATTTTAAAGAATAGACAAGAATTGATTTATTCAAAGAAACAAGCTAACAGCATTATAAAGCACTTTATATTATATAAGTGTATCAATTAAGACCATTTGGATTATAATGTATTTACAAAATAGACATTTTATTGTAAACTTATATTTGCAGTTCAGCCATGATTTATATGTTTATTTGTTAAGGGGATTAATGTATTTAATAAATATAAGTACCTTTAAAAAGGATTATACGAATGTTGCTACATGTTCTAGAATGTTGTATAATGTACATGCTTATAAGGCGCTTGTTAAAAGTCAACAAAAAATGAGATACATTTAATTTCAATAGTCATTCATGCGCTTTGTTTTATTGATTTTCAAATACACACTTATTATGTAAACCAATTTGCTTTGAAAATCTACATTAAAATGTTTATATATTCTGTATTATTGAATAATTTAATTTTGATATCAAAATAACTATATATTTTTGTGTCTCCCGTTTTAAAAGTGTCTCAAAAACACGTATATATTGTATTAATATTGGTTTACAATATAAATATTTGAATAATTGAATACTGAAAAAATAAAATAAAAACATTTTTTCTCATTTCATTATATTTTGTTTTGTTGTGTGTTTTCAATGGTCTCAAAGTTATATTTATTTATGTTTTATAAGACATGAAATTAAATTGATATCTAAGGAAACTTTTCAATTCAATCTCGAGTTAATTTAATATTTACCTAAAGTTATGTTGAATAAAGTATAGTAAAGTCATCTTTGTTATAATATTTATAGACTAAAGTACAATATCCTGGTTGAGCATCTATAAACAGAATATTCCAGCTTATTAAATTACATTAAACTATTCCATTATCCATATATCCGTATAGAAAATGCATATAGCTCATTTTTAACTCATCATATTCAGTTTCTTTAAAATATATTTTAAATCCTATTGTAATCATTGTTTATAATTAACAATTTGGTCATTAAGTGCCATTATATCTGTTTTATACCTGTATATCTGTACAGTTGTAACCAATTGAGCCAGATATATAAGTATAAGATTGTAGTTATTGTCAACCAATTATGTGCATAACTAGAGATAATAAAATGTGCCAGGCTAATTATCTCAGGCTTTACAGTTAAGCATTTAGATAATATTAAAAACTCATCCACACTGTCACAGCATTGGATCCAAAACTTCAATTGTAAACATATAATGGCTAAAAAATAACTATTGTGTAGAAACCTGTTTTAAAATTAACTCACATTGTTCAGTTTTATTTTTTACATACTTAAAAATAAATACTTGTAATAACATTGAATTATATAACAACTGCAGATATATAAAAATATACATTAAAAATCTGTGTTCAACGTAATCGATAAGATTAGAAATTTATCAAAAACAAAATAATCAAAACTAACATGATCAGTAAAAATAGCATAATTCACATCCCACATGATATTTCATTCAAAAACAATTGCCAAACAGTATTTTCACATCAAATAAATAAGACTTTGCTTTAAAGAAAGTGATGAGATATTTATAGGTATTATACAACTGCATAACAAGATATATAAAATTTGATTGAGAAAAAGGCAATGTAAATAAATCGCCAAGGCACACTTATGGATAAAAAAAAAATGCCCACATTCATTTATTTACGAGATACTCGTGAGAGTACACATTGTCTGGGAGAAAGTGTTTGTTCAGTTTGTCGTGAAATTTTTAAATCACCGACATATCCGTGTATACTGGATAAGCACGAAACCCGTTGGGCCATACACTACCATATAATGGACATTATTTGTCTTTCACGAGACATTACTGACAATCAAAAGGAGAGAGAGAGAGAGAGAGAGAGAGAGAGAGAGAGAGAGAGAGTCTATATTGAGTAATATTAATAGATTACATAATAAAGTCGTTATGTTAGAACATAAAGTGGGATATTATATGCCTGTAAAATGTTTGCTAAATCTATGGCTTTAAGACACAGCGAAAAGTTTGTGCAAACTGTTTGTATGGATAAATATTGTGAAATATGGGTTTTGATGTCCATTATTTTGTATACCGCCTTCAATACCATAGCATTCATAGTATTGAATGTCTTCATTCACTATAACCTTAATAGTGAACTATCTTTAAATTTATGTCTGATTTTGTCACTCATTTATTATCCAATTATAAATACGGTATATTATTGTGAATATTGTGTACACAAAATTTTAATGGCCTAGAAGTTGATGTATATGTATAATTAGGACGGGTTTGTGTAATAAACTGGTCATTTAAAGGCTAGATTTATGGGCAAAATCTTTTTATTTTTTGCACAAATCTAAGAAAAGTTTGTCTGAAAATGTTTTGAGTGTTTGCCGGCAAATGGCTTTCTGTGTTGTTTGTCATCCATAATAGTATTGATATTTTTTGTTTTATTTTATTTTATTTTATTTGTTTTACTGATAATCAGAATAATATTTATCAGATTAACGGAATATTCCAATGCCTTGACACTGGATTTACAGGCAATTTGTCTAAAACCCATAACTCTATTAACAATTACTAAAAATTTGTAGTTTTATTATTGAATATAATTATAAAACTGAAAATCAATCTAATTTCCGTTTAACAAAATACAATTAACTTTTTTTTAATATGATTTATGTTATGTTGTATATGAAAAATCGATACCACTTCACAGCTAAATCGTATTAATCCGGGTTATATAGCGAGCACAGACAGCGCCTGGATTTTATCCAGTGCTCAGTTTATATTATCTGTGATATTAATGTGTGTTAGTGTTTAAATTTACAACATGTAGTAATTATATTCACAATATATACTGTATTTAATGTGAATCAAAAACAATTAGGTGTTAAGAAAGCCTGAGGTTATCAATAGAAACATTAATTTTTTAATTACATGCAAAATATAAAATTTCACAATCATTGAGATGTTAAATTTAGGTGATGTTTTGACCAACTGTAATCAAGCGTACTATGGTAATTTTAGTTATTAAATTTATTTTTGTTTGAAAATAATTATGGTAAAGTGAAACACCTCATTAGCCAACACATTATACTGTATAATATACAGTGTATATTATTATATCTTATATATTGTAAAAATATAATATATTTTACATTAATAATTAATAGACGTTTTGTGAATAATTAATACAAGAATTAGTGAATTACTATTTTGTCACTTATTTAAGCGATTAATTTAATGAATATTCCTAAAAATGTATTGCATTTTATATATCCATACGTGTATGCAATACATAAATCTGAAAATTAATATTTGGTCCATGTTTTACATTATATGTATAAATAGATTACTTGTTATATTGATTAATACATTTTACCGTGATCATTGACATTGTCAGTGTAGATGTTAACATTGTTTAAATATTCATTTTGCTAATAAAGTAGTTAACATATTTTTAAATATTTGCATTAATTTAATTATTTAATAACAAAACATATGCCCAGTATTTATATAATATACAGTTATTCTTACAACCTTTGTTAGTATTAAAATATTTGTAGTTTTTGAAAGTGGTTTACATTTTTCTCCGAAATGTTTTTGTATAATATAATAAACTCAAATGTTAGCATAAAGTATAACATTATTTAACATACAGTAAGTAACATAAGTTATTATTAAATAATAACTTTGAAAACATACACAAATTTAATGCAAAAGTTTACTTCATATTTAAATGAACTTCAGTGTAAACACAACCATAAATTGAATTCATTTCACTTATTATGTTAATTATTTAAAATCATAGTTAATGTAAATACTGTTTACATTAATATATAATAATATTCCCTCATTTTTATAAAATAAATATAAGCAGAGAGAGAGAGAGAGAGAGAGAGCATACCATTAAGGTAGCCAAGGGTGAAGTTAATAGAGTGTGAATTAATATGCGCAGGTAAGTTAATTACAATGTTTAAGGTGACAATTTGGGATTTTTGTCTAAATTTAAAATATATAAATTTACAAATATGTATAATA